AGGAGGAAGTCACAGTGCCTTTTTGACCAGGTCTCTGAAATCACATACCATCACCTCTACCTTGTGTTTATTAGAAATCGTTACTAAGCCCAGCCCATGAGTAAGGGGAGGAGAGAACCTCTTGAAGGAAAGAGTGCCAAAGAATTTAGGAACGTATATTAAGTCCACCGTAGTACCCAATTGACTGCCTTTCCTTTTTTATTTACTAAAAGCTTCTGGGTCTCTGAATATTTAATGAGCTTCTTTCAAGCTACAAAGGTCAAAAAAATATTGATTCTGAGTACCAGATACTCCAGTGGACTTTTTTTTTAAGATTTTATTTATTTATTCATAGAGACAGAGAGAGAGAGAGGCAGAGACACAGGCAGAGGGAGAAGCAGGCACCATACAGGGAGCCTGACGTGGGACTCGATCCCCAGTCTCCAGGATCACGCCCTGGCTGCAGGTGGTGCTAAACCGCTGCGCCACCGGGGCTGCCCTGGACTTTTTTTTTTTAATAGGAGTTCAATCTGCCAACATACAGCATATCATCCAGCGCTCATCCCATCAAGTGTCCCCCTCAGTGCCCGTCACCCAGTCACCCCCACCCCCTGCCCACCTCCCTTTCCACCACCTCTTGTTCGTTTCCCAGAGTTAGGAGTCTCTCATGTTCTGTCTCTCTCACTGATATTTCCCGCTCATTTTCTCTCCTTTCCCCTTTAATCCCTTTCACTATTTTTTATATTCCCCAAATGAATGAGACCATATAATGTTTGTCCTTCTCCAACTGACTTACTTCACTCAGCATAATACCCTCCAGGTCCATCCACGTCGAAGCAAATGGTGGGTATTTGTCATTTCTAATGGCTGAGTAATAAATAGTCCATTGTATATGTATATACCACATCTTCTTTATCCTCGGTTGGACACTGAGGCTCCTTCCACAGTTTGGCTATTGTGGGCATTGCTGCTATAAACATTGGGCTGCAGGTGTCCTGCCATTTCACTGCAACTGTATCTTTGGGGTAAATCCCCAGCAGTGCAATTGCTGGGTCATAGGGCAGGTCTATTTTTAACTCTTTGAGGAACCTCCACAAAATTTTCCAGAGTGGCTGCACCAGTTCACATTCCCACCAACAGTGCAAGAGGGTTCCCCTTTCTCCACATCCTCTCCAACATTTGTGGTTTCCTGCCTTGTTAATTTTCCCCATTCTCACTGGTGTAAGGTGGTATCTCATTGTGGTTTTGATTTATATTTTCCTGATGGCCACTGATGCAGAGCATTATCTCATGTGCTTGGTGGCCATGTCTATGTCTTCCTCTGTGAGATTTCTGTTCATGTCTTCTGTCCATTTCATGATTGGGTTGTTTATTTCTTTGCTGTTGAGTTTAATAAGTTCTTTATAGATCTTGGATACTAGCCCTTTATCTGATAGGTCATTTGCAAATATCTTCTCCCATTCTGTAGGTTGTCTTTGAGTTTTGTTGACTGTTTCTTTTGCTGTGCAGAAGCTTTTTATCTTGATGAAGTCCCAATAATTCATTTTTGCTTTTGTTTCCCTTGCCTTCATAGATGTATCTAGCAAGAAGTTGCCTGTGTTCTCCTCTAGGATTTTGATGGATTCTTGTCTCACATTTAGATCTTTCATCCCTTTTGAGTTTATCTTTGTGTTTGGTGTAAGAGAATGGTCTAGTTTCATTCTGCCGCACGTGGCTGGCTGTCTAATTTTCCCAGCACCATTTATTGAAGATCCTGTCCTTTTTCCAGTGGATAGTCTTTCCTGCTCTGTCAAATATTAGTTGAACATAGAGTTGAGGGCCCATTTCTGGATTCTCTATTCTGTTCCATTGATCTATGTGTCTGTTTTTGTGCCAGTACCACACTGTCTTGATGATCATAACTTTGTCCAGTGGACTTTGATGAAAAGAAAATGGGTGCTGCATCCTGCTCATTCTTTGAGGGTTAAAGACAATGGGCTATGTCCAAGTTCTTAGTTTTTATAGATTAATTGAAATAGAACGTATATAGTAAAGTGCTCAAATCTTACATATACAGATTGATGAGTCTTTTTCCTATGTTATTTAACTGCCCAGATCAAGGCATAGAACATTTCAAGCACCCTAGTAGGCCCCCTCTGACCCCTTGCCATTTATCTCCTCATAGATAACAACCTGTGGCTTCTATCACCATGGATTAGTTTTGTCTGTTCTTGAACTTCATGTAAGTGTAATCACTATAATTGTCTGGCAGCTTTCATTTAACATAGTGTCTATAAAATTCACCCATGTTGTTGCGCATGACAATATTCGTTTCTCCTTATTGTTGCATCATCTTCTGTTTAATGAGTATAGGGTAATTCATCAACTTACCCATTCTACTGTTGACAGTTATTTGACTTGTTTCAGATTTGGGTCATTGAATAAAGCTCTTCTGAACTTTCTTTTTTTTTTTTTAATCTTGTTGTTCTTTGTTTTTGTCTTTTTGTCTTTTTACCAGTTTTTCTTAGAGATTATACTGATTTATTTCCTACTAGGAACATATGAGAGTTCCATCAACATCTGGTAATGTTAGTCTTTTTATTTTAGCTACTCTGGTGCATATGTAGTGGGCTTGAGTTTTAGGATGGTTGGATGTCCGCTAATGCCCAAGTCCTGTGTGATTCCCATAAACAGGGTATCAGTATCTGAAATTAGATGTAATGTTACTGAACCAAGGAGAACCATGGATGGAGGAGGAAGAAATCTCAAGTTGGGCCTATTCAGGTAAGTGCGAACATGGCATATGGGAGACAGGGATGTAAGATTAATATTGATTAATGAGACATTTATCTTTGAAATATTTTTTTAGGAAATCTTCTTTAAGGCCATAGATGTCTAGAAGGGGCTGATGACAGTGTGGGATTGTCAGATACCTAAATAACATTGCTACATATCTAACAGCCATGTAATCCATTTTCTTTGCTTAAATTTTAGAGAGAAAGTATCCTTATCTGTATCTTGGATCTTATTCATGCCCATGTCGTTTAGGACATTTCATAATTAGTTAACCTCCCTTTGGCTAATATCTTCAGCACCTGTTCTTCCAAAATGGGCTTATACTCCTTTCTTTATGTATTCGCCCAGTCTTAGATATACCCTCTACCAAAGTAACTTACCGAATGATATTCATATCCTTTCTAATTATCTTGTTTTTCTCACCTTCCTTTCAGTGTAATATGTCTTGAAGTACAATCTTTTGTGTTTTTAAGTTTTTCATTTACTCCAATAATACAAATATTCCTTCTTTGCCTGTCTTTGCCTTCTTTTTCTCCTTTCTCTGTGACAGTTTTTACTGGCTTCTTTATGTTATTTTTATTAACTTGGTTATTTTCCTGTGTTTTTCAGTGCTATATTCTCCTTATACCCCTGCCCACACCTTGTAATTTAATCTTTCATTTTTCCCTCAAGTTTAACCAATTCTTTTTCATCTCTTCATTTTTTTGTGTACTTATTTCTTCTTCTTCTTTTTAATAAGTTCTGATTCATGGTGGTCTTCCATGTCCTCAAATGCTTGTTTGAGTATATTTGATTCTGTTTGGAGTTTAGACAAAATTTTCTTCTGCTTTATGGCTAGTGTTTTTGTCATTGTTGTTTTTGGTTTTGCTTTTGCTTTTTGCAAGGGATAATTTCCTCTATTGATATCTGCACAAATTCATTTCCTGATTTTTAAAGAAGATTTTATTTATTTATTCATGAGAGACACACAGAGAGAAAGAGGCAGAGACCCAGGCAGAGGGAGAAGCAGGCTCCATGCAGGGAGCCCAACATGGGACTCTATCCCGGGTCTCCAGCATCAGGCCCTGGGCAGAAGGCTAAACTGCTGAGCCACCTGGGCTGCCCCATTTCCTGATTTTCTGTAGTACTCTATGGACTGTATTTTTTTGTTCACTTTTATTACTCTACAGTGTTTTAATAAGATTTTTATTTTTTTAATTTTTATTTTTTTAAATTTTTTAAAAATTTTTAAAATTTATTTATGATAGTCACAGAGAGAGAGATAGAGAGAGAGAGAGAGGCAGAGACACAGGCAGAGGGAGAAGCAGGCTCCATGCATTGGGAGCCCGACGTGGGACTCGATCCCGGGTCGCCAGGATCGTGCCCTGGGCCAAAGGCAGGCGCCAAACCACTGCACCACACAGGGATCCCCTTAATAAGATTTTTAAATACTATGGAGTCCTTGTTAATATAGCAAAGCCTTTTCCCCTCTTTCTTTTGGGATTGAAGAGGAGTTTTGGCTTTTCTGGTTTTGTGGTTCTCTTTGTCTTCTAGGACTCTGAGTTTCCTTTTTTTCTTCTTTCCCCATTACCACCACCCAGTTATGAGTACGTATTTCTTCCTTTTTTGCCTTTTTTTTCTCCCCCTAAAAATGCCTGTTATTCTAACTCAGAATTTCCCCCTTTTAAATAAAACCTCTCCTATCCCATGCCTTTTGTGTCATCTGACTCTTGAAGATGCATATACTTGGAAATCCCTACCCTGTAGTTGTGCTTCTGTCTGGTTACCTAAAACATATTTTTGAATATTTTTATATTTAGTGTGGATTTAGTCTTTCTGCTGGTCACTTCAATTCACCTTCAGTCTCCTTTGCTAGCATCTTTACTTTGTCTTTTCTGAAATGATTTTTGATCTACTTCTGCTTGGATCTACTTGACAGTGGTGCCCTGTGGAACTGCGACACTGAGTTCATTGACTTCTCTTTCCATTATTCCCTTCTTTTTCTTTTATATCTTTCTTCTTCTATCTTTGGGTTTTAAGGTCATATTCTTCCATTTTAAAGCTGACTACACTCATTATCAGATTTCTATCTATGTGAAAATTAAGAGCTTTATTTTTAATTAATTAATTAATTTTTGTACTCTTCAGAGCTCAAGAGTGAAGTAGCATCATTTATATTTGGGCTTTTTTCAGACTTTGATATTATAACCAAGATGAAAGAATTAACACCATGAAGGAGCATTTCTGAACAAGTGATACTCCATAACATGATTGTATACTCAAGTTTTGAAGACTGGAGACTTGGAGATGAGATAAATCACCAGGAAAACCAAGACAAGTTTTTGAACCACATTGCATTCATTAACAATAAGCCACTGACTGAGGAGATAGATCATGAATGTAACGATGTGCTGGGAAAAATAATTCATCTGAACAGAACATCTGATGAATGCATCAGAGGCTTCATGGAGAAGTCACACCCCTTTATACAACCGAAAATTCTAACCAGTACGAAATCATTTAAATGTATTCAGTGTGGGAAAGCCTTCAGTGGAAAGTCAGGACTCATTGTACATGAGAGGATTCATACTGGGGAGAAACCATACAAATGTAATGAATGTGAAAAAGCCTTTATTCAGAAGTCACAACTCACTGTGCATCAGAGAACTCATACAGGAGAGAAACCCTATGAATGTAGTGAATGTGGGAAAGCATTCACTCAGAAGTCAAACCTCATTATTCATCAGAGGATTCACACAGGGGAAAAACCTTATGAATGCAATGAATGTGGAAAAGCTTTCATCAAGAAGTCAACACTTAGTGTTCATCAAAGAGCTCATATTGGGGAGAAACCATATGAATGCAGTGACTGTGGGAAAGCCTTCATCTGGTGGTCACAGCTAATTATACATCAGAGGATTCATACTGGGGAGAAACCTCATGGATGTAATGTATGTGGAAAAGCCTTCAACAGGAAGTCAGAACTCAGAGTACATCACAGAATTCACACTGGGGAGAAACCTTTTGAGTGTAATGAATGTAAAAAAGCCTTCATTCAAAAGTCAGATCTCATTGTACATCAAAGAACTCACAGTGGGGACAAAAGGTATAAATGTTGTGAGTGTGGGAAAGCCTTTATCCGGAGCTCACAGTTCATTGAACATCAGAGAATTCATACTGGGGAGAAACCCTATGAATGCAGTGAATGCAGAAAAGCTTTTATCCAGAAATCACAACTCATTGTGCATCAAAGAATCCATACTGGAATGAAGCCGTATGAATGCATTGAGTGTGGAAAAGCCTTTAGTAAGAAGTCACACCTCACTGTACATCATAGAATACATACTGGAGAAAAACCCTATGAATGTAGTAATTGTAGAAAAGCTTTCAGTAAAAAATCTACTCTCATTCTTCATCAGAGAATTCATATGGAACATAAACCCTTTTAATGGAATGAGGAAACTTTAATTCAGTGATCAAAATTTCATCATACATCATAGAATTCATAAAATCTAAAAACTCTATGAATGTACTAAACATGAGAAGCTTTCAACAATAGCTTCCAAACTATTAAGCACCAGAAAATTCATACTGAGAAGCAATTTTGAAAAATCATGTTTCAAAAAAAATTTACATTGGACATCTTGGTTCAGGCCTGATAGTAAAAGTTTTTTTATGGTATGACAGAAAAATCTCAACTGCCTGTGATTGCCTTGATCACTGTGTGGTATAGATCTTTTTAAAATGAGTACAGTTGACCCTTAGACAACATAGGTGAAGGTCCCCTTGTGCAGTTGAAAATTCATGAATAACTTTTAACTATTCAAAAGGTTACCTACTAATAGTCTATTATTGACTGGAAGCCTTATTGGTAATATAAACAATCAACACATTTTTATGTTATATGTATTACATACTGTATTCTTACAATTAAGTAAGGTAGAGAAAAGATGTTTTTAAGAATGTCATAAGGAAGAGAAAATACATTTACAGTATTGTACTTATTTATTTTAAAAAAAATCCATGGACCTGCACAGTTGAAACCTGTGTTGTTCAAAGATGAATTGCAAATTGATTAATCAGTACAACAAAATGACAATTATAGGTGATCATTCTACAAGTGATGTAGGAATGACATTCATAACCCAAATTATCTGTCATTTGGAATTGAATATGGATATTTACACCTGCCTTTCTTTTTTTTTTTCACCTGCCTTTCCACACTAAATGACACCATTTCCCCCACATCTTAAAAAATATAAAAGGATAAATTATAACTAAATTACAAATAACTCTTCCCCATTCTTTCTTGAGTTGTATAGAATCAAGAGAAGATGAAGCCAATGCATTTATAGAGACATCAAAAGTTAGTGGTAGGGAGCACCTGGGTGGCTCAGTAGGTGAAGTGTCTGACTCTTGATTTCAGCTCAGGTCATGATCTCAGAGTCGTGGGATCCAGCCACATGCTGGAATCCATGCCCAGCAGGGAGTCTGTTTGAGATTCTATCTCCCTCTGCCCCTCACTTTTATGCACTATCTCCCTCTCTCTCAATAAATTTTAAAGAAAGTAGTAGACTTAAAAATATCGCTTGATGTAAAGCATACAGAGTTAAGAAAGACATCAAACAATAGACAAAATAGGTGGTAATGCAGCTGTAGACAACGTTGGCATATTCAACATGTAACAAAAATAGTTCTTCACAAAGAAATTCCTGTTCATCATCCTGTTTCAACTTATAGCACTTACGTGATTACTGTTAGGCATAGCTTGGGATCTTTATATCCTTGTGATTATCAGAATTGAATTTTTTTAAAGCTCCCTTTATTGGATATTCCTGCCACCACATTTGACAGTGTACTTTCTTATTTAATCCTTACAGCAAATGTATTAAACTAAAATTATTACCATTTTATAGATGAGGCAAGTGGAGCCCAGAGAGGTTCTCTGATCTGGCTAAATTCATGTGCCTAGTAAGTGGAGGGTTGAGATTCAGATCAGTCTCTTAGCCTCCACAGGAATCTGTCCCACTGAAGACAAGGAATGGGTGTAACATCACTTCAGCTCCAGACAGAATTGAGTTGAATTTGACTGGACATCATATAGTATTCTGTATCATGTCCATACATTATGTTAAACAAGAAGAAACATGCATTCTAAAAGGAGGTATTAAACTTTAGTTTCTTACATGCAGAAGCTCTTGGAGATATATTTTTTGAGTTATTGGTTCAGGGATACCTGTTTTGCTGCCCTATAAATTTTCTTGTGATCAGTTTGAACATAGAAGTTATACTGTTATTTTATGATTTGTTTGAAAAAATTAAGCTTTGTTTTGTAGAGCAGTCATTTTATCATCATAATCATTTTTTTATTTTTAGATTTTATTTATTCATGAGAGAGAGAGGCAGAGACACAGGCAGAGGGGAAAAGCAGCCTTCCAGCAAGGAGCCCAATGTGGGACTCGATCCCGGGATCCGGGATCACCCCCTAAGCTGAAGGCAGACACTCAACCACTGAGCCACCCAGGCGTCACCACAGATAATTTTTCATACAAATTCTGTTATCCAAGGCATCCTTTACTTTTCAAGCACAATAACCTAATCTTATATAAGTTGTAAATATTAATTGTCAGGTAATATGAAAAGAGTGATTGATGTCAAAAAACCTTTTTAGCCTTCCCTTCAAATAAAAGGTGAAGCTGATACATCATAATGAGCTGGATCCTAAATTTTGAATCAAATATTTTTTCTTAGATTTTAAGTTACAAATAACATTTTTAAATTGAAAATGGTTAACACCAGCCATGATTTTTACTGTAAATTTTAACTTTCAAATAATTATTTTTTAAAGATTTTATTGTTAGAGAAAAAGAGTGTGGGCTGGAGAAGGGACAAAGGAAGAGAAAAGGAGAGAATCTCAAGCAAACTGTGCTGAGGATGGAGCCCAACTTGGGGCTTAATCTCATGACCCTGAGATCATGATCCAAGCCAAAATCAAAAAAGTTGGACACTTAGCTGTCTGAGCCACCCAGGTGCCCTACAAATTATGATTTTAAACTAAATATTGAATTGCAGTCATGTAATTCTTTTACTGGTCATTTTTAAGTCACTTTTGAAGATAAATATTGAGCTGGGATGTAAATGTATGAGATTGATTTTCTAAACGAACATGTTAGAAACTAAACTACTCATTTGTATCTTGCCCTTCAGTGTTGTCATCTTGGAAACTATATGATAATGCTGCTTGTGCGGCCAATAATTTGTGGAACTCCTGTCTCTTAGAAGTTCTTTCAGATCCAGCTTGCCTGTCAGGCCTCATATAAGACTATGTAATATTTTCAGAGAGCCTTCCATCATTAGAATTCATTGTTTTTCTAGCCCTTCATCCTTCCTATCATTCTATTTACTCTGTGCATGACTTAAGCAAGAAGAAAGCTCATGCCCCTTCTGTAGTCACTTCAAGTCTCAGGTCCTTTAGGAAATTCAACATCTCAATATTCAATGTTTTGTCTTCTATTTAATGGTTTCCTATACATAGCTAATATCGCCATGAATTTAAAATAGGTAGGAAATTCTTCCAGTATTGTTTTTCAAAAAGGTTTTATTTATTTATTTTGAAAGAGAGCATGAGTAGGGGGATGGATGGGGGGAGGAGCAGGGGAGAGGGACAAGCAGACTCTACACTGAGTGTGAAGCCTGACACTGGGCTTGATCCCATGGCCCTGAGATCACTTCCTGAGCCAAAATCAAGAGTCAGTTGTTAAACTGACTGAGCCACCCAGGTGCTCCCAGTGTATGTGTTTCAACTTGCTTCCTAATATGTTGTCACCTAAGTGTATGTACTTGTATTCTCTTTAAAAGGATATTTCATACTACTTCCTTTCTACCTCAGTAGTATTACTAATAGATATTTCTGGGAGCACAATGAATTAGGTACTAGTCTCCTTAAACAACTGGAATTTAAGAGATTACACAAGACACCATGACTCATACCTAAGGACTGTGAAACATTACAGTGTACATAAACTCACAGGTATTTCAGAGTTTTCAGGCAGAGTTAAAAGTTGAAACAAATGGAACTACCCTAGTAATGCTGAAAATATGGTTTTAAATGGTTTGGGAATTAAATAATTACAATGTTAATATGCTTGTCATGAAGATGCTAATGTTCACTTGAAGTTTTACAAGCTGATGGTATTATGTTTATTTCAACTTCAGGTCGTCATCACAGTTACACACTTCACAGTTTCAGACATTCTTAGAGTATAACAGAACAAAATGGCATTATATGAGTGTGTGTGGGTAGGATGGGAGGGAAGCACACCATGACTTTTTTCTGAAAAGGTGGAAAAAAACTCAATTTCCACTTGTTAGCTTAGGTAGAGATGAGGCACAAGAGAAATTAGAAAAGGTTTAGATAATATTGAAATGAAAATAACATATGTCAAAGTATCAGGGATGTCACTAGACCAGAACTTAAAATAAAATTTATAATTTTAAGTGTTTTATTAGAAAAGAAGAAATATGTAAAATAAATTTTTAAAAATTCCATCTTATGAAGATAGAAAGATATGAACAAATGACACCTCAAATAAGTAGGAAGATGAAAGTAATAAATGGAAGAGCACAAATCAATGACCTAGAACAGGGGATCAGACTACATGCCGAATCTAGTTAGTGGCATGTTTCATATAGCCCTTAAAGTAAGAATCATTTTCATATTTTAACAAGTTTTAAAACACACCAACTAAGGGCTCCTGAGTGGCTCAGTGGTTGAGCATCTGCCTTTGGCTCGGGGTATGGTCCCGGGATCCGGGACTGAGTCTCATATTAGGCTCCCTGCAGGGAGCCTGCTTCTCCCTCTGCCTATGTCTCTGCCTCTCTCTCTCCCTCTCTCTCTCTCTCTGTCTTTCTCTCTGTGTGTGTGTCTCTTATGAATAAATCTTTAAAAAAAAAACACAAACTAAACAAAAAGAAAAGAAAAAATAATAAAAGAGAGACTACACAGCAGAAACCATAGGTGGCCCACCAAACCTAAAATATCTCCTATCTGGCCCTTTACAGAAAATGTTCAATCCCTAAACTGGAGTGTATGCAAACAGAAAAATCGATGAGAACAGAAAGTGGTTCATTGAAATAATACAATTCATAAATCTTGAATAGATTTAAGAGAAAGAAAAGACAAAAATTACCAATAGGAATAAAGGAGGTGACACCACTATTTCAGAGTTGAAAAGTTGATAGTTATTAATGAATTTATTTCAGAAATTTGAGACCTTATGTATAATGGAATATTTTCTTGAAATAATGTTGTTACCAAAACGGAGTGAAGAAGAATTAGAATACTGAAATAGGCCTGTACTGATTAAAGATGTTGAATGTGTAATTTAAAATGTTCCCTAAAAGAAAACTCCAGGTCTAGAGGCTTTACTGGGGCATTCTACCATTATTTAAGGACGAAATAATACTAATTCTACAAAAACTTTAGAAAATAGTGGAGGATTAACATTCTTCAACCCATTGTATTGGATCAGTATTACCCTGAAACCAAAGCCTGTTGAAGACATAATAAAGGAAATTATAAGCTGATATCCCTGATAACTGTAAACGTGAAAATTCTTTTAAAGTTAATATTTTGAGGGCCACCTGGGTGGCTCAGTTGGTTAAAAATCCAACTCTTAAAAAAAAATCCAACTCTTGATCTCAGCTCAGGTCTTGATCTCAGGGTCTTGTGTTCAGGCCTCAGGTAGTGAGTTCATGCCCAGGGTGGAGCCTACTTTTAAAAAATATTTTGAATACAATAAATAATAAGTGAAATGTATCCATCCATGTAATTCACAAATTTTTTTAAAAAGATCTTTATTTGAGAGAGTGAGCACAATTGAGGAGCAGCAGAAGAATGAGAAGCAGACCCCCTCCTGAGCAGGGAGGCCAATGTGGGGCTGGATCCCAGGACTCCAGGACCATGACTTGAGCCAAAGGCAGACACTTAACCAACTGAGCCACCTGGGCACCCCACCAAAAGAATTTTTTTTTAATGAGTGAAAATACATCTCCATAGATGCAGAAAAAGCATTTGACAAAATTCAACATTAGTGATGAAAACTCTCAACAAATAAACAACAGATGATAACTACCTCAACCAGTTTTATGGTTACTTCTTTCCACATAAGATTAGAAATAAAGCAAAAATGTCTGTCCTCATTTTTTAAAAAAGAAAGAGTGGGGTGGGGGTGGGGAGGAAAGGAGCAAAGGGAGAGAGACAAGCAGACGCCATAATGAGTGTGGAGCCCCCATGGGGCTTGATTCCAGGACCCTCAGATCATGACCTGAGATGAAATCAAGAGTCAGATGCTTGACTGAGCTGCTCAGGTGCCCCCTCATTTTTATTCAACAATGTGATAGAAGTCCTGGCCAGTTTAGTAAAAGAAAAAAAAATGCATACAAATTAGGAAGGATGAGGTAAATCTTTATTCATAACATGATCTTACCCATTTAAAATCCTAAAGAATCTACAAAGATTAAATCTTTTTTTTAAGATTTTATTTGAGAAGGAAAGAGAGAGAACATGAGTAGGGGGAGGGTCAGAGGGACAAACAGATTCCCTGCTGTGTGCAGAGCCAGACATGGGGCTCTATCCCAGGACCCTGAGATCATGACCTGAGCCAAAGTTAGATGCTTAACAACTGAGCCATCCAGGCACCCCAAAGATTAAATTTTATAAGTGAATTTCAGAAGTTCTTAGGATAAAAGACCAATATGCAAAAAATAATTGTATTTGTACATATTATCAATCAAATATAGAAAAATAAAGTTTAAGAATCCATTTACCATAACATCATAAACCGTAAAATAGGAATAATCAACCAAAGCTAGGCATTGAAGATTCCAAAATATTGCTGACAGAAACTTTAAAACTAAGTAAATGGAGAGGCTGATCATCTTCCATGGATTGGAATACTCAGTGATGTTAATATGTCATTTGTCCCCACATTGATCTACTCAATCAAAAGCCCAACAGGCCTTTTTTTTTTTTTTTTAAGAAATTACATGGAAACTTGTATGGAAGTACAAGAACCAAAATAATTTGGAAAGTTAACATTGGAGGACTTATACTATCTGATTTCAAGTCAGTGTAGGTATTGTCCTAAGGGTAAGTATAAAGAAAGTGTGATATTGGCTGAGCATAAACCTAAATCAACAGAATAGAAAGACAAGAGTGTTCAGAAACATACAAATACACATAATCAATTGACTTTTTAAGTAAATTTTTTGTTTGAAAATAATTTTAGATTTACAAACGTTACAAAGATAGAGAGGGTTCCCATATGCCCATCATCTGGTTTCTTCTGATAGTTCACTTCTTACATTACCATTGTACACTTGTGAAAACTAGAAAACTAACACATAAACGTTAATATTAATCATATTCCAGGCTTTATTTGAATTCCACTATTCTTTTTTGTTCCAGAATTCAATGCAGGACATCACATAGGATTTAGTCATTGTGTCTCTTTTGTCTCCTCTGGCCTGTGACTATTGATAGGTTAGCTAAATTACTCCATAAAGTGCCTCCTTGTCCTCCATTTTGTGTGGTTAAGGAACTTGAATGACACTAGCTCCTCCCTCATGTGCATGCCTCAGATAATAGCCTGCAGAGTCACAAGTAAGTAGTCTTATTGCATGGCTATATTAAAAAAATTTAGATTAAAAAATTCATTTATTTTAAAGAGAGATTCGGGGGGGTGGGGTGGTGGCGGCTCCATCTCACAACCCGGAGATCAGACTTGAGGTGAAACCAAGAGTCTGACGCTCATCTAATGAACAACCCGGGCACCCCTGTTTTTTTTTTTTTTTAAAGTTAGACTCCACAGCCAGCTTGGCCCTCAACAAGGGACTTGTACTCTGGACCCTAAGATCAGGACCCGAGCTGAAAACCAAGAGTCGAAGGCTTAACTGACTAAGCCACCCAGGTGCCCCAACTCTGTTCTCTTTTTAATTTCAGAAGTATAAATAACTACATATTTACCATATAGATGCACACACATAGAGAAATAGCCTATAATATTTATTTTAATAGTGGGTATCTTAGAATAGGCTTTTATTTTAATTTTGTTTTTTTTTTATTCTCTACAATCCACCTAATATTCTTTGTATAGAAAAAAAAGGTAAGGTATGTACACTCCCTTTTAATGAAGTGCATTTATTGGGCTCAAGAAGAGATGTGGAGGAGGGCACAATTTACAAGGATTCATCAAAGCACTGTTTTGGGTGGCATTAAGGTGAACATAACCTGAATACATAACAGGAAAACAAAAAAAAAAAAACACTAGAAAAAAAATGCTACCCTCAAAAGTTAGTTTTACTTCCTTCTTGATTGGAATCAATTCCTTCTTTCACAGACCCCTTCCCCACACAGGAAGAATGTGGCTGTGACTTATTTTTTTGAATTCTACCTACCTACCTACCTACCTACCTACCTACCTACCCACCTACCTGTATCTATCTATCTATCTATCTATCTATCTATCTATCTATCCTACAGTGTTAAACAGTAATTATCTCTTTGTTAAGGAATTCCATCTAGTTTGGGGTTCGATTTTTTTCCCGCCCTTTTCCCCTAACCTTGGTGAATAAAAGGTTATATTCATCTACTATTATAATGAAAAAGCTGTTCCTTTTATGTAAAGGTTAACGAAAAACCTGCATCCCTTCGGATTCATATTTGCCTATTGCGAAAGGAAAAGCTTTTCTTCGTCCCTTTTTTCTTTTTATTCGAATAACGAAAGAAAGCCAGCACCCCCCCTCCTCCCGCGCCCCTCCCCCACCGCACCCCCCCCCCCAGCAAAGTCGCCTGGAGGTGGAAAGGTAACTCTGCAGCCGGTAGGGGACGCTGCCGGCGGGCGCCTGGCCTTTGCCAAGCATGCTGGGAAATGTAGTTCCAGGCGGCTACGTGCGCAGGCGCACTTCCTGGCTTGCGAGGGGGAGGCAGAGGCGGAGGCTCGGGAAAGCCGGAGGGTGTTGGATTCTCCTTGGATCTGGTAGTGAGCCAGTTCTTTTTTTTTAAGATTTTTAAAATTTATTCATGATAGAGAGAGAAAGAGGAAGATAGAGGCAGAGACACAGGCATTGGGAGAAGCAAGCGCCATGCCAGGAGCCCGACTCGGGACTCGATCCCAGGACCCCAGGACCACGCCCCGGCCCAAAGGCAGGCGCTGATCCGCTGAGCCAGCCAGGGATCCCCGAGCCAGTTCTTTCCCAGCCGCTCGCACCGGGAGGAGGACCGGGAGGGACCTCCGCGCAGGACTCCTCGTGACCCGGGGGATGGGGCGGGGCCGAGGGGCCGAGGGAGAAGGCGGAGACTTGGCGGGCGGGGTTCGCGTCCGAGCTCCGCGCGAAGCCGTCGGCGGGAGGCCGCCTCGGTTTTAGCGGGACTAGGGCGGTGTCTCTGGGTTAAGGCGGAGGGAGAGCCCTGGCTGGGCGGGCACCCCAGGCTTAAGGGGCAGGGTTTGGGCTCTCACTTGTGGGTTGGGAGTTGGAGCTTGGGGCTGTGGTGGGGTCAGACCCTCAACCGGGAGGGAACGGCCGCTCCAGGAACTTCCCCGCACCCCGCACCCCTTCCCCAACCCCACCCCGCTCTGGAATGTAGGTCTCCTGACATCCACTTCTTTGCTTGCTCTCTCCTCTGAAATGCAGTTTCCCCAGAGGCTTTTTTATTTTGCAGGTACGTTTTTTGAAGCGTGTTCTCTAAGGAGCTGTGCAATTGGTTCCCGACGTCCTGTGGGCTCTGAAGAGCACCTCCAGCTGGTCAGACAGGGTTCCCATAAAGACCGTCTTGACTCCTCAGGGCCCCTCGCTTTTTCAGCTCTGCCTTCTCAGGCCTCTCGTGTCCTAGACAAGATGGCATTAAGAAGGAAGACCTGACTACCTTCTTGTCTTTGGTGAGCAAAATTTTTCTTTTCTTTCTTTTTTTTTTAAGATTTTATTTATTTATTCATTCATTAGAGACAGACACAGGCAGAGTGCTTCCTCGCAGGGAGCCCCATGCGGGACTCGATCCTGGGACCCCAGGATCACGCCCTGAGCCAAAGGCAGATGCTCAACCTCCTGAGCCACCCAGGCGTCCCCAGTGAGCAAAATTTTTCAATGCCAATTTATACCTTCAGCTGGTTTTAATTTCTAAAGTTCCCATCTGAAGTTTGAAAAATCACGTGTAAATATCCTTTGAAATTTTCTTAGATTGCTCATAACTTAAATGTATGTTATATGTATGCAGTTATGCATCAATATATATGTATAGGTGTTCTTTACATATATACATATGTACATATGTTCTTTACACGTTGAAATAATTCCTAGCATGGCAAGATGCTCACTTGTGAGAGGCATGTGAGAACCGAAACTGAGGAAATGCAGAATCTTCCATCTTACACTTCACTCCTAGCCCTATACTTTCTTGAGCCTAATTGGCAACTCTGTATACACGAAACGTGCAGGTGCAGGTGAGTCTGTAATGCAACTCGGTTTTACTTTTTCTTTCCTGAAATATCATCTCTGTGCCCAGAAGGAGGAAAGATTTTTCTTTCATTCACTGAATACATTGTTGAGGGCCTGCTTTTTTTTTTCCCCAGTAATGTTTGAGGCATTGGGGATACAGCAGGTGAACAAAACCAAGTCCCTGCGTAGACGGAACTGATGGGCTAGGGTGGGCACTCAGACAATTAACAAGTAAATATGTCAGATAGTGACTAGCGGAAGAAACTGCATTAGAGACACGGGCTTAGGGAGGGCCTGGGACAGCTGTTATTTCATGTAGTGTGATGTTGAGTAGAGACTTGAAGGAAATGGGGTAAGCCTTGCACATATCTGAGGTTGGGGTGGGGAGTTCCTAGGCAGAGGCAACAGCAAATGCAAAGGTCCACAGGCTCAAATGTGCTGAGCCTGTATGGAGGAGGCCATTGTGGACAGAAGAGTGCGCAACAGCATAGCAGATGTTGAGATGAGAGAGCTAAGAGGGTCCAGATCACACAGGGCTGTGTAGGAGTTTGGCTTTTATCCGGAGTGAGAAGAGAAGCCATAGGAAGGTGGCTGTGGTAGTTATTGTTTAATCAGCTCTGTTGAGGTGTAATTTACATGAAATTTATCGATTTTTATAGGAGGATTTTGAGAAGGACATGTTATTGTTAAAGGAACCCATTTGGGTGCTCTGTGGAGAATAGACTGTATGGGAATAAGAGCAGATATAGGGGATTTAGTTAGGAACTAAGGCAGTGATCCCCATGAAAGATGATTCCTCTGTTTTCTTTACTCTCCCATTCCTACCAGCCATGTGACATGTTACTCCAGCTCCTTGCCCATGTTCACCGTCGACTGATGATCCTGCTTCCTATTTCACTGAAAACAACCAGAAAAGAACTTCCAAAGGCTCTCACCTTCACATCTACCAACCTTTCTGGAAGTATTCCCATGTAGTCTGTCCTTTGTTACTATAGAGAAAAGGTCTGTGCTCTAATTTATGGCCAACCCCTCTACTGGTACATTAGATGCCACTTCCTCTCATGTACCCAAGCCAGGGTCTGGGATAATCATTGGGCAAAATTGCTGATAGTTTTGTTGTTCATGTATATTTTGTATTTGGATATATTGACAACAGTAATTTTTCCTGAAAAGTTCAAATGCAGATTTAAAAAAATCATAAATGACATAATATTCATCAACACTGATATGCCCTGGAAGAAATTGCTTTAGTTATTTCATGCTGCTTCTGCCATTCTTGATTTACAAGGGACTTCTGTTTGAAGAGTTTAACTGTAGCCATATTGGAACAGAACAAAATGCATAGGATTTCCTACTCTTCCATGTGTGTCTCATTTTTAGTTTAGTTTATTTCAAATAGAAAAGATCTTAGCCAATTCTCAAAGCTTTGCTATCCTTATATTCAGCTTGGGCTTAGATGATTGAAATGGCATATTAATTTCATTTCAGTTGTGTGCATTCGTGAAAGGAGAATTTGCTTTACAGGCATTCAGTGTCAACCAGGAGGCTGTCCATTTAAAATGTTTAAATTTTAAACATTTACAGCTATCTACCTATTTGATTAAAAATGGATACATTGAAAAAAATGGATACATTGTTATGATCATCATTTAAACAATTTATAATGTATTTGTGTCTTTAGAAAGACTCAGAGAAACTTGAATAGCCATCGCTACACTTCTAAACCACTGATTTTTAAAAATTTTTATCTCTATGAATTAGATAATTCAAAATATTTTTTTCATCATATTTGTCATTTTCTTTTCATAAGTAGTGTGTGGACTATTTTTAAGTGGAGGGAAATACTACTGAAGTTGAGAATAGGAGAGAGGCTATAATGCTAGTCCTGCCAGGGACTAACTGTGTGACCTTAGACAAGTGACTTAATTCCTGCTGGCTTGAATTGTGTCTTGGGCAAACTAGGGAATTAGTCTTCAGGTTTCCTCAGCCACTTTTTAGCTCAAATGCCTGACATCATGATCATTTGTGAGGTTCAGAAAGAAAAGCCTTTTGCATCTAGTCCTTGTGTTCATCTTCTTGTCTTTACTGCTCTAACAACATCAGTCATCCCTGAAAAAAAAAAACAAAACAGAATTCACAGTTAGATGGTCTGAGGAACATGGCAAATATTAGGACAGTCCCACATCTTTGCCTGGCTGATTGTGGGGATGGTTCTAAGATGAGAGAATAGTAACCACCAGGGGTTTTAATGACAGATGTCAGGTCACCACTATAGTAGGAAGTAAGAAAGACAGGATCTATGATGACATTTTTGAGGGGTTGCCGTGGTTCTGTCTGGCTACCAAGATCGAGAAATCTCACAGAATCAGCAACAACATCAGAGGTATAGTTTAGAATTGTGAGCTGCAGGCTTCTAGAAACTAAGATGACAAAGGAAAAATATCAGTTTGTAGAAAAGCAACCAAGTACTCATTGAAACCTCTAAAATGCAAGGCACACCCTACCAAGTACACGGGGCTTTAAAAAAATCGGTGATTATGGTCCTTGCTTACAAATATGAAAGCTGACCACAAGAACATTAACTCTAAACTTCCTTTGCAGTTAGACGATGTTCCATAAATGCTGGATTGAAAAACGTAATCAGTAATGGTTTAGCTGTAGGTAGGTCTGCATAGAAGAAGGGAGACAGATTAGATGATATTTTAGGATCCTAATCCTGTTCAATTCTGAATTGTTTATGGTAGGGTCATAATACATCCTGTACACTTTGATTGACTGTTGAGATGTAGAGAAAAATAGTGTCTTAAATTACACTTCTTAAGGTAGTAGGTTTAACTGGCAGGATGCTGTAGTTCAAAGACCACTGGATTGGGAATCAAGAGAATTCTTCACTTATTCAGTAAATACTTATTGGATGTTTTCTAGTTATTTTATAGTTTTATTTGTAATGTTTCACCCTGGTTCACCAATAATTTATTTTTATATAAGGCAATAGTGTTAAGTTTATTTTTTCCCTAAATGGATAGTAGGCCACTTATCCCAAGACCTATTTAATCTCCATCTTCCCCCAAATATTTGAAATGCCACATTTATCCATGTATTAAATCCCTAAAAAAGAATGGGCCTATTTCTAGGTTCTTTATTCTGTTTTTTTTTTCTGTCCTTATGTCAGTACTGCCCTGTTTTAATGAACATAGCTATATGTTTTGCTGTGTAATATGGACAAATCCCCCTTCAGCCTCATTTTTGTTTTTCAAAAATACATATTCTGTAAGTAAAATTGGGATGCCTATTAGTTTTGTGGGGCTTCTATAACAAAGTACCACAAACCGAGTGGCTTAAAACAAGAGAAATTTATTCTCTTATAGTTCTGGAAGCTGGAAGTCCAAAATCCAGGCGACAGCAGGGCCATGCTGCCTCTGAAACCTGTAGGGGAATCCTTCCTAGCTTCTGGTGGCTTGCTGTCTTTGGCATTTCTGGCTCACAGCTGCATAACTGTAATCTTTGCTTTCATTGTCATGTGGTGTACTCCCCACGTGTCTGTGTCTTCACATGACCATCTTCTTACAAAGACACCAGTCATACTGGATTAGAGAGGCTTACCCTACTCTAGCGTGACCTCATCTATATATCTGCATTGACTCTTTCCAAGTGAGGTCACATTCTGAGGTACTGGGGGTCAAGACCTTCACATATTTGGCAGGTTGGAGGTGGGGGCGGTTCCTTCAACTTAGAGAACTGGCATCTTTAAAATATTGAGTGTTTTCATCCAGAAACATGCATTTTCAGTTGTCTTTAGCTGCTGAGAGGTGAGTAGAGTATTGCTGTTTTGAAGTTGCTGTGCCTGTTTCTTACACTGTTTATGGGATTGTTCTATTTGGCCCTGATTTTCAGAAGTTTGACTATGAGATCTTTGGACATGCTTTTCTTTGTATTTAGCTTGTCTGTGGCTCGCAACTTCTTGAATATAAGAGTTATCAGTTGGAAAAATCTATCCTTATTCAATGTTCTCATTCTCTTCTTGTTTTACTTCTCTGTACTCTCAATGGATACAGAGTGGTGCCAAATAATGTACTTTAAATCACTCTTTAACTTAGAACCCTGGATCCTCTTTTTTTTTCTTTTAAGATTTTGTTTGTTTATTCATGAGAGACACACAGAGAGGCAGAGACATAGGCAGAGGGAGAAGGAGGATCCCCGCAGGGAGCCTGATGTAGGACTTGATCCCAGGACCCCAGGATCGCACCCTGAGCTGAAGGCAGACGATCAACCACTGAGCCGCCCAGGTCCCCCACCCTGGATCCTCTATGAACAACTTGCTAGCCCTCCACTTTGTTATCTTCAGATCTTAGCTTTACTCTTTCTTTCAGCACTGGTTGCATAAGTGGTCCCTTAGTGAGTACATATTTGATGTGTTAGGAACCAGTGGCACTGGAGGATGTGCCAATGGACTTTATCTTGTAGGAATGAAAAGAACCAGGTCACCATCAGACTTTGTAAGGGAGGTGATGATAATTGTAGGAACCTTTTGCCCTTGGATATGTAAAGCTTTGTAATTACTACAGATTACAGTGACTTTCCCCCAAAACGTCCAAATATATTTTATAAGTGCTTATCCAAGACTGGGCTTGTTTTGGGACCAGAGATTTTTAAAATTTTATTTGTGCACAGAGATATTTCTTTTCCTACTAAACGTGTGATATTTCTTTTCTTCAACGCATTGCAAATGGATAGCTTATTGTGCCACCTTAGCAGCATCAACATTTCCATATCTCAGAGTTCCCGAAGACAACGTAGGACACATTTATGAGATCCATCCTAAACACCAAGCCTATATCCTAAACCAAGAATGGGATATCAGCGCTTTAAGGATGTTATCTTTCAAGTAGTAGATCTGTATTTACAAATAACAGGAGAAAAAGGAGAAATGTCACAAATACTTAATCAAGAAAAAAATAAGATAGCTAAGTAGCAACCGAATAACTAGAAATCCTTGTAAGTACCAGTCCGTCTGTCTATTGTGGTGGTGGTAGTAACAATATTGGTACTAGGAGGAGGCAGATTTGGAAATGTTGGCTAGTGCCTACTGCACAGAGCCCTTCTATCCGTGTCAAAAACTGAGTTAATCTGAGTGAACATCAGCTTCATTTCTACATGTCTTTATCCATATTCTCACATTAACTCTGTGATCTCAGAAAAGGAGCATTCTTCTATTGCTAATTAATCTCTCCTTCTATCCCCAGACTCCATTCTTTTCCACTCATCAAGGTTTTAATACCTTGGTTTACTAATTAACAATTCAATCATTCCCAGTTCTAACTTCAGCCAAAAGTTTTTCTCTTTTTTTTTTTTTAATTTATTTACGATAGTCACACACAGAGAGAGAGAGAGGCAGAGACACAGGCAGAGGGAGAAGCAGGCTCCATGCACCGGGAGCCTGACGTGGGATTCGATCCCGGGTCTCCAGGATCGCGCCCTGGGCCAAAGGCAGGCGCCAAACCGCTGCGCCACCCAGGGATCCCCAAAAGTTTTTCTCTTAAAAGAATTCTTGCATGACATAGTTTACTTTTTATCCACCTTTCAATTTTCTTCTCTCCTTTAATTACCAGACCTGCCATAATAGTAGCTAACAGCCTCAGTTTCTCTTCTGTGGTAGTCTTTGAAGTAGATTCTTCTGTTTTTATACTAACATCATTTGGAAGACACTCCTGAATCCTGAATTCCTTCTTGATAGCACCCTGTTCTTAGTCCTTTCTGTAGTCAGACTTTCTGCTGTGTTTGATGTTTTTTCTTTGTTTTTGTGGCATCAGTAGATTTTTTTGTTCTAATCCCCTTCCAAATGCTTTTTAATTAGCTTCACTTTTTCCCTAACACAAATGCATGTGCTTTTAAGGTTTATTTTCTACTTATTTATTTTTATCTTAAAGAATCCATGCATTCTAATATCTTCATAGTCCCCTTATGTCATTAACTCCCTGAAATGTCTCTGTCAGTCTAGATATTTCACTTGTGTTCTGTCCCCTTAGTTTCTCCTGCTTGGAGCCTGTCTCCACTTAGATGTCCCACTTCAGTTTAAACTCAGTATCGTGAAAAATGAAATCACCAACTTTCCCTAAGGTGCCTCCTTTTCCTTCAATATTTCTAGAATTAGTAACACTATTAGGGTGCTATTATTTCCTCTGTTAATAGGACCATAAGTAAGACTGTTAGTTCTAAACTTATTGGCTAAAAATTATTGTATCTTTATCAACTTCATTTTGAAAAACTCCCCGTAATCAGTGTCAGTATTTTTTAAAAATTTCTTTCTTCCTTTTTATGTTTTAGGTTTGCTCATACATTAAATTATTACTTTATCCTAGTCCAGACTCATATCATTAATATTAAACTTTTTGCTGAATTCAGTAGCCTTATTCTTTCATTTTCCACTATAGATGAAATTAACAAGCATCTGTATCTAAAATGTTTCATATTCATCATGTTATTGCTATGACAGAAAACTTTAGTTTTCCTATCTTCTACTATATGGCATTGAATATGTTTGTCAAAGTTTTTATTAACAATCACATTTCACTTTTCCTTTATTTTTTTTTACCTCTAGTTCCAGAGATTGTTAATGTCATTGACTTTTTGTCATGTCATGTACTTTTCTGTGCCTCTATTTTTTTTATTATGCTATGCATTTTGTCTCAATGCTTCCATTTCTTTTACTCTGCCTATTTGTATTAATTCTTACCTTTTTTAAACTCCCATATTAATCAGGACCTATACTGTATCATCTTTTGTTTCATTATAACACTGGTTCATTTTTATTTTTATTATATTTTTTCTCTGTAATTGTTGAGTGGGTTTTGTTTTTTTCCTTTTATATTCCAGAGGGAAGAAATGTTGTCTTCTCCTTAATCCTGGATACTATATCCAAAGTCAAAACATCAACTCCAAAACAGAAATCTTCTGAAAAAGGATAATGTCATGGCTTGATGTTAGACATTTTTCTAAATGACGATTCCTAAAACTTTGCATTAGAAGAATTGGAATTTGATAGCAAGCTTGAGAATGCTATTAAAACTGAATTACAAGGACACTCAATTAAAGAAGAAGATCATTAATAATTTTGAGGAAGTATTTAAGCTGAGCTCAATTCTTTTTAAACAACTAGCAGTTTCTAAAGACAATTATGACATAAATGATAGAGGCTTAAAGCATAGTTCTGTGGCAGTTGTTTTTTTTTTAAAGGCAGCTCATAAGTGGAAAATAATTTCTTACATATAAGAAGGGATGCATTTTTATCTAAAATCTTACTTATTCTGGAAACAATTTAAATATAAAGCCATAGTTCAGTACTAATGGAACCTGAGAAAATTGGTATGAGAGAGAAGCAGGAATGTAAACTATGTGGTAAATCCTTCAGCCAGAACACTAATCTTATTCAGCATCAAAGAATACATACTGGGGAGGAACCTTATGGATGTAATGAATGTGGAAAAGTTTTTAGAGCACTAATTTTATTCAACATCAAAGAGTCCATACAGGGGAGAAACCTTATGAATGTAATGAATGTGAAAAAACCTTTAGTCATAGGTCATCCCTTAGAAATCATGAGTGAATTCATACTGGAGAAAAACCCTATAAATGTAATGAATGTGGAAAAGCCTTCAGTCATACCCCAGCCTTCATTCAATATCAGAGAATTCATACTGGAGAGAAACCCTATGAATGTAATGAATGTGGAAAGGCCTTCAATCGGAGCACACATCTTACTGAACACCAGAGAACTCATACTGGAGAAAAACCGTATGTTTGTAAGGAATGTGGGAAAACCTTCAGCCGGAGCACACAGCTTACTGAACATCTAAAAATTCATTCTGGTGAGAAACCTTATCGATGTAATCTGTGTCAAAAACTCTTTTGCTATAGAACATCACTAATTCGACATCAGAGAACTCATACAGGAGAGAAACCCTACCAATGTAATGAATGTGGGAAATCTTTCAGCTTAAGCTCCACCCTTACTAAACATAAGCAAACACACACAGGGGAGAAACCTTATCGATGTAGTAAATGTAGTGATGTTTTCTATCATAGTACATCTTTAATCCAACATCAAAGAACTCATTTTAGAAATGGAATCCTATCAGAGTAATGAATGTGGGGAAGCCTGCTATACCTAAACACTCAGTGGTAAGAAACTCTAGGATTGTTATGCAAGAAAAGCTTTGGGCAAAATGCTCATTTTGTTTGTACTGAGAAAAAAACAGTGTTCTTGCCATTAATCCTGAAAATGTGTTATCATTGGGATAAAAACATAATGGAATTATCCCTAAACTGGTTTGTTTTTAAAAACAAAATTATTTTTAGAAATAATTTACTACAAATATATATATTTGTAGTAAATATAAATATTTACTAATAAATATTTATTATTTAAATAATAATAATAAATTATTAAAAATAAATAAATATATATATATATTTATAATAGATAATAATAAATATTTTTATTTATTATTAGATAATAGTAATATATCTATTACTATTTATATATAAATATAAATATATATCTATTTATATTTATATATTTAATATATCTATTAAATATATCTATTTATAATAGATAATAATAAATATTTATTATTTAAATAATAATAATAAATTATTAAAAATAAATATATATATATATATATTTATAATAGAAGCCTATTCAGATACACAAAAATTTTAGTGGGATCATGAAAATTGTTTATATATCATTTATCCTTTTAGTAGTCCTCATGTTATTTTTCAATGTTAAAGAAACACATTTATAGCGAGTTTGAGTTTTTTAACAAGTTTGTCTAATAGCCATAGAAGAGAATGCTTTCCCCCACAGAGAAATCTGCATTATTTTCCAGTACTCATGGAATGTTTTTTGTTTTATATGTTTATATAAAAACATATTTTTTCATTTATGTATATATATAAAAGAAAATCTCAACAAATTCTCCCCAAGGGAAATATTCAAGCCCTTCCCATTTTTTTTAAAAACCACAGTGCAATAAAAGTAGACATGAACAAGTTAAAATAGCACCACCAAACTATTTAGAAATTACAGAATAATTTTGTAAGTAACTTTTGTGTTAAAGGTTAAATCCAAACAGAAAAAATAGCTATAAGAAAATAATAAAATTAGAGCATAATTTAAGTATTCAATGACAAAAAAGAACTATAATAATGACATAAAACTAAAGAAAATAAAAGGAATGTATTCATATAAAAGTACACATTAATAAAAAAGTACACATTAATGAAATAGGTACAAATATATGTTTGATAAATCAAACTCTAGCAAGTAGGATAATGGGAAAAAATAAAAAACAGCATCTGTAAGAAAAGAAATGTAAATATAAATAAAAGGGAAGTTAAATTTTCTAATTCAGTGATTAACAAGTCAAAGCAGTTTTGTAAATCAATACTGAGACTTATCATAGGACTTCCAAACTAGTTCAAAAAGTAAAAATGTACATTAATAAAGAGAGTACACTTAGATGATGTTAAAGCATTTGGCAAAATTTTACAGGCATTGGTTTTTTTTTTTTTTTAGTTAGGGATAGAAGGAAACTTACTTAAGTTGATAAAGGATATTTATCAGAAACCTATGTAAACATTTTGAATAGCCAGAAGCATTCTTACCAGAAACAGGAATGAGAAATGATGTTTGATATCGATATTACTGACATTGTTCTGCAGGTCCCAGATAATTTAATAAGAGAAAGAAATAATATTTGAAAGAACTGATACCATTTGAGATGATATATTTGGTGACTAGAGAATCCAACTAGTAGAACTAGTAGGGTGGAGATACATAAGGTATCAATAATGCATAAGTAAAAAGCTATTTCAAATAGAAGAAATAGAAAATGTGGTGGAAAATAATGATGATCACAATATTGACAAAGAATCTAAAAATACCAGGAATAGGAAAAAATCCAAGAGATGTTAATAGGATAAGCCTCCAGAAGAACATAGAAAAATGTAATAAATGAAAAAACATATTTGGAAAAATAGTATAAAGATGTCAGTTTTTTTTCCAAATTTATCTTTGATTTGTAAATTTAAATCAAATCAATGGAGTTTTTAAAACTAAGTTTTATTGAAATATAATTTTCACACCACACGATTTGCTCTTTTCAAGTACAAGTCAGTGGTTAGTATATTCAGAGTTGTGGTACTATCACCACTGTCTAATTTCAGAATATTTTCATCACCCCAAAAAGAAACCCCATACCCATCAGCAGTAATTCCCTATTGCCCTTCTCCCTCTAGCCTCTGATGACCACTCATCTACTATCTCTTTATGTGGATTTATCTGCTCTGGCCTTTTCATATCAGTGAAATAACAGATTATGTGGCCTTTCATGGCTGGCTTCTTTCACTTAGCATATTTTCAAGGTTCCATCCATGTTGTAACAAGTATCAATATTTCTCTTTTTGGTTAAATAAAATTCTATTGTATGGATCTACCATATTTTTTTTCCATTCATCAGTTAATGGATATTTCAGTTGTTTCCACTTTTTGGTTATTGTGAATAATGCTGCTGGGAACACTCGTGTGTAAATTTTTGTGTGGACATGTTTTCATTTCTCTTGGGTATATACCTGGGAGTGTAACTGTTGAGTCACAAATTAACTCTATGTTTATCTTTTTGAGGAAATGCCAGGTTTTATTTTAAAGCAGTTGAATCATTTACAAGCCCACCAGCAAAATGTGAAGGTTCTTATTTTTCCACATCCTCCTCAACACTTATTTTCTCTGTAAAAGATACATGTATATTTTCAGAAGTATTTTTATAAGTATACATGTGTATTTCTTTGGAGAAATGTCTGTTCAGATCCTTTGCCTGTTTTAAATTAGACTTTTTATTGTTGAGTTGCAAGAGATTCTTTATATATTCTATATATAATTTGCAAATATTTTTCCCATTCTGTGGGTTTTCTTGATGATGTTCTTTGAAGCAGAAAAGGTCTTAATTTTTATGTAGTCCAGCTTACCTATTTTTAAAAAGATTATTAATTTGAGAGAGGGAGAGAGAACCAGTGAAAGAGAAAGCATGAGCAAGTGGGGGGGGGGGGCAGAAGGAGAAGCAGATTCCTTGCTGAGGAGGGAGCCTGACTCGAGGCTCCATCCCAGGACCCTGTGATCACAGCTGGAGCCAAAGGCAGATGCTTAACCAACTGAGTCACCCAGGTGCCCCCAGCTTACTTTTTTTTTCTTTTATTGTTTGTCCCTTTGGTGTAGCCCAAAGTTGAAGAGTTATATATTTTCTTCTAGGAATTTAATAGTTTTAGTGCTTACTGTTAGGTCTATGATCCATTTTGAATTAACTTTTTTTGTATATGGTGTGGGGTAGGGATCCAACATCATTCTGCATGTGGATATTCAATTATCCCAGCATCTTTGTTGAAAAGACTATTTCCCACATTTAACTGTCTCAGCATCTTTGTCATTCAATGGGATTTTAAAAGTTAATTTAGCACACTAAATATATTTGAATAACTAAAATAGTGTTAAAAATTAGGAACAACAAATGGGGCTTACGCTCCAAGCAATTCAAACAGTGGTCTGTAGGAAACAAAATACTTAGTGCATCACAGATGAAACCATTGGATCTGCAGAATAGAAAAAAGAAAAATAGGTGTATATGAGAATTTAGTTTGTGATTACAGTAGCATCCCAAAAAGGTAGAGAAAGAATGCACTAGTTGTTAAATGATATTGGGATGATTGGCTCTTTATCTGGGAAAATAATTACCTCATGGCATACACAACATTTAATCCCAGAAGGGAGTAAGTGAATACCATTTTGTGGTAGTTTCTTTTTCCGTGAGACAGGACCCGGGCACACAAGTCTGAAGTTTTCTTCAGATCCTTCCACGACCACAATTGGGTAAACACAAATTTAAGAAGAGTTTTGAAAAAAAGGAAAAAAGAGGATTGTAAGAGCATAAACCTAAAACATAGTAACAGGATTAAGTATAACTATTATAGCAGTGAAGGTCCCTTTTTAGATTAGATTCACAGGGAGGAGAGCAAACATTTCTGGGTTGCTCAATGAAACTATAAGAAATTAAGAGGCTAAAGTTATCTGATTCACCCATGGTCACCCAGCACTTTAATAGATCATTCAAATTCAGGTTTTTTGTTTAATACTGTGAAAGACTTGCTAGGTTGTCTTTTTGGAGGAATTTCCCCATTTCATCAAACACTGAACTTCCAATCCTGAAAAATAATTTCTACTTGCTCTGGTAGGAGGGCACTGGCACTCTTTGTCTCTAGGTGACTCTGAAACTATAACCACTGTGTCTTTATGAATTTTGTCTCTTTACTGGTGCGATTTGAGGAGACATGGTCACCAGAAGAAGATAAATCAATATAAGGTATTCCTGTTTGATTCTTGAAATATGATATTCTTGCTTTTCATTTTCTAGAGTTTGTGGAACACTATGGTCTTCTGTTATTTTCAGTTGTATCTGAATCAGAGCGGTGTGCCTTGAGAACCTTCCCTTCAGCATTCTCCTTTGGAGCACTGTGGAAATAACTCTCTAGATCCAGCACGGAGCTGCTCCTGGGGGCTCCTCAGCAAACCAAAATTTATTTATTTATTTATTTTTAGCAAACCAAAATTTAGATAATGTTGGTGTCCCTGTAAATGCTCCACTTGACAGAAGTGCAGTATATTTGGTCAGCCAGTCCCCCAACGCTGAGCCACCTCTGGGCCTTCTTACCCCAAACAAGTTTGTCTGTGCGGCCCCAGCCAATCGTATTTTTACTTGTCTCTTGCTTGTTCTTTAGTCTGTAAAAGCTTTTTGCTTTTTGCCTCTTTTTGCAGTTCTCCAAAAGGAGACTGGCTACTTGATGAAGTGTTAAAGCTTGTGTGTCTCGCCTAAGTTGTGTTTTTAAATCAGTTTTTAACAGCAGTAGGAGAAATTAGCGATGAAGGCCTGGGCTAGTGGGGTTCAGGAGTTCCTTTGGGCGCTTCCTCAGTCCTACTCCTTCCCTCACAGTGAAAACAGCCCGTGGAAAAGAGCCATTTTGGTAGAAACCCCACGCTGTGGGCCCAGGCAGGCCCCCTCTAACCCACCAGCTTGCCGCGCGCCCACCCACCCCGGCCTCCCTCCCGGGAGGAGGTGCCAGGGCCGCACACTAACGCTGCGGGGCACCAGGGGGCCATAGAAGGGGGCAGGGGAGTGCTGCAGGCCGCACCCGC